AATACTAAACCCTAAACCCTAAACAGTACACGCTAATATAAAGGGCCCCCAAACCCTATTTCTTTCTTTAAGGCTTCTATCTTGTTCGGGTTTAGTGGTTTCCAGCTCAGGGCTTAGAGTCTTCGAGTTTCAGGATGAGGGGTGCAGGGTTTAGGGTTCAGGGTTTAGGGTTTACGGTTTAGGGTTTGAGGTTCAGGGTTTAGGGTTCAGAGTTTAGGGTTTAGGGTTCAGGGTGCAGGGTGTAGGGTTTAGGGTTTAGGGCTCAGGGTTTAGGGTTGAGGGCTTGGGGGCTCGATGGACCGTATTTGAAGCGTTTTAGGTTTTTGGGGTTGTTCTTGATGGTTATGCCGGACTCTTGGGTGGCCCGGAACTCCGCGCCCCGAATCACCCTGCATCCCCAGTGTAGCAGCAGGTCTTCGAACAGCTAAGCCCGAACCTGTCTGATTCTAACGGGAAGACGAGTCCGAGACCCAAACTATTGGCGAATTGATACCAGTAGTGGTTTCATGCTCGTCACTATCATCCTCATCATCATGCTCATTCTCTCCGATACAACCTTCATGCATCCTCAGTGTCGTCATCACCACCTTCACTGTCGCAACTTTTATTACCACCGTACCACCATCGCCATCATCACTGTATCAGTGCCATTGTCGTCGCCATTGTCAATGATGATGGTCCATGATGGTGACGAAGAGCATGATGCCAATAGTCATCTTGCAGCTGGTCAACAACGATCGATCTTGACGGGACGGCGAGTCTGTCGTTTCTTCTCGATTGCCCGCTGAAGCAGATGGCCGAAGACATGATGAACCTACAGACTGTGTACAATTGTCTTCAGCACAGAATTCAAGCGTCTGCCAACCAAAGTGGTTCTGTGGCACAGAACCACTTTGGTTGGCGGACGCTTGTAACCCCCACACCCTAAGCCGTAAACCCATACGCCAAGTCGTTTGTTTCATGCGCTGTTGCTGCATCAAGGAAGCTCTATGGGGCACATGTGCCGCGCTATCACAGAATGGCCGTCCGCCATCATTGGCCGAATCATTGCCGTCATGTTCCTCAGGTTCTGCTTCGCGCTATCGTAACCTATTGCCGGGCTGGATCACCATTGGTCCAGCAGCATCCTTGTTAACGACGCTCACTGTTTTGCCTCAGCTCGTCCGTGCCTTGTCTGTCTTCATTAATCAACATCGTCGTCGTCGTAGTTGTAAGTAGTTGTATGCCATTGCAGCAGCAGCAGCAGC